GTAAGCTTCTTTGAAGAGGCATATTTTCTCCCCACTTGTCCTCTGCAAGGAGCTGTCCATGGAGTGAGTGCTCATGGTGTTGAGGATGAAGGTGAGGCTTGCCAGGTCTCAGAGAATGAGCTGCTGTGCCAGGAAATGGCGGCCTGCCCTGAATCTCCAGGCCAGGCAGACAAATGTCAGGAGCGGTGGTGGAAGGGAAGGAATGAGTCTCGTTTATTGTTACGGGATGGCCACAGTGTTTGGGTACCCAACTCCAACGGGTATCCTCAGCGAAGACAACAGCCTGGTTCAGCTCCAGCAGGACACCTGCCTTCTGGTCCCTCACATCCCCCTGGAGAAGAGGAAGCTTTGGGCCCTGCAAGAGGGAGAGAGAGAGAAAAACAGAAACTAATGGGTGAGCTTGTCCGCTGCTGTCAACCGGCTTCAACCCAGGCATATCCACCTACCAATGTTCTGGCAACTTCATCCCAAAGTTGCGCCTGCCAACATTCACTGGCTTCCACCAGGAATATCCACCTGTTCATCTCTTCCACTCCGCAGGCAGATTCCACCAGCTTCTGTCTGCCAACATCCACCGACTTCCCCCCAGTCCATCCCCAACATCAGCTAGCTTGACTCCACAAATCTCCACCAGCCTCAAGCTGTTAACTCGCAAGCGCACTTAGCAAGTTCATCTGATTTCGTGAGAGAACTTGTCTTGGGCAGAAGGGCTGGGTCCTCTGCAGCAGCTGCCATGGCTCTCTCTGCTGGACTGGCCTCTGGCCTCCCTTCTGGTCTCCTGCCCTGCCCAGCAAGCCCCTTTTATCTGCCAGCAGAGAGGTGGGGCTCTGTGAGGTCACCAAGACCCAGAAGAAAAGGGTTGGGTTCCCAAGGCAGCAGCACTAACACCCTCAGGATTGGCTGAGTCCTAAAGATGATGTCAACAATCCCTCTGATCATGGGATTCACCCACAAAAGTTTGCCTTTTGCATGATTTTTTAAAATATATTTTTTATTAGTGGCCTATAAATGTATCCCCTCTGATTGTTAAATCTCCCCATGTTGGCCTTCTGACAGGATTCTAGGCTGGTGCTCCAAAAGGTTATCTTCCAGCATTTGCACCAAAAGGAACTTTCCTAAGCCGTGACCTAGGAAAAAAATGAAAGTAATAAATGGATGAGGATGGGCACAGTCACACAATGTAGCCTTTGAGCATTTGGGGTTTTTTTTACACCTCTTATTGGATATTTTGTTCTTGCCCTCGCTATGAAAGAGATATTATAAGGAGCCCATTAAGAAAAAACCCTAAGTGTTTGAAACACATGCCAGTATTTTAACACCATCCCGGTACTATCAAAGATGAAACTGTGATTCAAAGACTCTCCCAGCCTTTGGAACTCCCTCCCACCGGAAGGCAGATTTGCCCCATCTTTGCTGTCCTTCCACAAGCTGGCGAAGACCTTCCTCTTCATGCAAGCTTTCCCTTATGGACTGGCTGCCTGGGTTGGAATTTTGAATGGACTGTTGTGCCTTTTTGCTTTGAATGCGTTTCTGGTATTTCTTTTATTTACTGTTTTTAGTGAGGTATTTGTTCCTGTAAACTCCCTTTTCCATCTCCTTTTGAAGCGTGGCTGTCAGGGACTGAACCTGCAACTTCATGCATGCCAGACTTGCTGCCAGCCTCTGAACTAAGTTGCTCCCGTCACATTCTCCATTGCTGGTGGCATCATTGGCTTTAGGTGGCCTTTGGTTGTAGATGCCAGACACCTATTCTGCGTAGGTGCTTGCATACTGGTGTTTACGTAAGGTTTGAGTAAGTTGCCCTGGCTAATTGAAAGGTGCCAAGGAGTATCTGGGTCACATGCCTGGTCATGTGCCTGATTGGTGAAACCATGATGTATCCCTGCAATTCATCAATCAGCTGCAGGTGGCCTCATATCTTATGCAAGTGCCAATGGGATTCCAATTAAAATGTCTATAAATAGAAAGTGCTTCCTTTCTGTCTCCCTTTCAGCATTGAGCACATTATTGCAAACGTATTGCAGACAGTTGGGTAGACATCTGTTTATCTTAGGCTGGACATACAGTAAGACCCCAGTATCCACTGGATCAGTATTCACAGTTTCATTCATCTGTGGTTGAAATTTTGAAAATGATTAAAAGAAAAAGAAAAAATCTAGAAATAGGTCCTTTCACAATGTATTTACCCCAAACATTGGCCACTACAAGGAGCCCGAGACCATACTAGGTATTGTTATGGTTGAAGAATATATAGCATGGTCTCTGGCTCCCTTGGTTGGCCAGTTCTGGTGATATAGGTGAAAATACATATTCTTGGATTTTGCTCTTTTAACATGCTAGCTATTATTGGAGTGTTCACTAGTATCCACAGTTTTCAGCATCCAAGGGGGGGGCTTGTAACCAATTCCCCGCAGATATGGGGTTCTGACCGTGCTTTCTGATTCAGAAACGGTGTTTCCCAGTACCAAAATCACTCCCCATAGGTTCAGCCTGTGCTTTCTGATTCAGAAACCGTGTTTCCCAGTACCAAAATCACTCCCCATGTCAAAATTTGTACGCACTTAGCGTATTATGCATTCCTGCACGAATTGCTTCGTTACCAAAATGCTGAAATCAAGTCACAGCCAGCTGAACTCACACAACTACTTCCCCTCCGGAAGCCCACCGACACGGAGAAGTTTGGCCCAGCACCCCTGTGAGTTCGATGGATGAGGGGAGGCAGTTTGTGTTGGACAGTTATGGCATGTTGCCTGAGTTGAGTTTCTTTGATCCAATTATGAACAATACTGGTTTGCCTGTAACCAATAAAGATGACGTTGTGAAAGTTAAGAAGACGTCTCCTGTGATATTTCCTGCGCAGAATGAGGAGTTGTCAAAATTTGAACCTGAACCCATTCACATTGTCCCATAGGACTTGGTTAAAACATTGCAGGAAAGCATGAAAAACCAAATCCCTTTTGACAGCAGGCAGACAATAGGAACAACTTCAAAGTTAGTCTTTAAAACTGACTTCATCTATATCTATCCTACGTAAACGCTCTGCAGAATAAATGTGCCTTTTCTTTCTCCCATCTTCCTGCCGGCCAAGAAGAAGATCCACTGAGAACTCTTCTCTAGAAGGTTGTTTCACACTGTCTTGTTGTCCTCCTGACCGATTGCCATGTCCCTTTAAAGAACTTGCTTTTTGATGATTTTTCCCTCTTCGTTGTTTGCTACTTTGGTTTTTAGCTATAGAAGCTGAGGTCTTTCCAGTAGTACTAGAGTTCTGTCAAAATTTGGCCTAATCAAGTTATCCAAAAATACATTTTGCCTAAAGCTTCATGCTGAGAAGCAGTCCATGATATAAGAAAAGCTGGGACAAGCCTTTACCTCTTTTAACTGAGAGAGATGTAGATCAGGGTGGAGAGGCTGTATTCTACAGTGTTGACATAATTCTGGAAACAACGTCTACCTTCCAAACCAGTCCCAGCAGTTTTTCTGTCAGGTCTTAATAGAATACTGTGAAAATCAGAAAGAGATATTCATTTTTTTCCAGTCTGGGTTGCAGACAAAAAAGTACAAATTTACAAGGAGTCACATCTCTTTAATGTAGTCGAATTTGTTTTGTAGGAAACATAGCCTTATACCACCTAAGCAGACTAGGTCAAAGTGATTAGAAATAAAAGCTGCAACCATTACAGTGCAATCTTATTTGTGTTTAGCCTGGAGGAAATCACATTGTATTCACTGGAGCTAATTCCCAGGTAAGGGTGCACAGAATTGCAGCATTAATCAATGCAATTACTCAATTAACTTATCTCTTTGCAATTAACATTTATCTTCCAATTCAATTATCCCCTTTTAAATACTCAAAAATCTTAGTACCCAGCTGGGGAGTTGGTATCAGTGATATAACCCTCTTGAATCTGGATGCATAAACTTTGTGGGTAAGCTGCCAAGCTGAAACCAAGCCGCCAGAGAAGTCTAGTTTATTTTCAAGTCACAAGTGACATTGTTCAGCAGTTCCCAAACATTAATACATTTATAAAATGGATCAAAGACAGACGGCTTCAACCATACTGATACTAATCTGTAGAGGTTCATGTATTCATTCCAATTACTTGTCTTTGTTGTGCCATAATCCACAAAAGTCAATTCCATATCAACCTGTTAGTCTTCAGGTGCCACAAAACTCTGGTTGTTGCAGCAATAGCCTGGCATGGCTAATCCTATCTGGAAATTAGTTTATTTAGTATTAAGAAAAGGACTAAATAAAACCATTCATGCTTTTCTCACCAGAAGCTTCCTTTCAAGCCAGTACTGTCTGAGCTTACTTAGAGTCCTGTCAGTGGTGCAAGTTAAGTCTAAGGACTACAAAGCCCACTTGACCTTTTCACAATAATATCTGAGAGTACCAGGGTGTTCTTATGTGGGCAGACCTGCGAGAAGGAGTGTTGTATCATGGCTAGCTGAATTTGGACTCTTCAGCCCATTTTAGCATGTGCAAACTCCTGATTGCTCTCTGTCCAAGCTTACACGTGGTTTTCGAACCCGTGTTTGCTTACACTGTCTTCCATCTCTCTCCCCAACTGTTTCCCCCCTCCATCCACCCAGCCTGTGCCAACTACAGCTTGAGTGGAAATTTATCCTCAAATCTTTTCATTTCTTACTGGTCTTTCTCTCCACCAAACGTTCATTCGGCCTTTCCCTCTCCAAAACCCCTCCCAGTTCAACCAGGTATTAGGAGATACAGGCGTACCTCAGTTTACAAATGCCTCCGTTAATGTAATTTTCAGTTTATGATAGAAAATCCATTTAAAATAATGTCTCCGTTTATGATTTTTTCCCCACAAAAAAAATACACAGAAAGAAAGAGAGAGCAAAATACAAAACAAACAAAACACTCTTCCTGAAACAAACAAAAAATGAAGCAGACAATTAAAGGGAAAAATGTAAAGACTACCCCCACACACACACATCTAAATGTAGTAGAATATGGAGGATTTTTCACCTACCTTTACCACTTGATGCTTTCTCTTTTTTGACTCCATCAGGCGGCAGCAGGCAAGCCAAGCAACAGCAGAAATAGTCTAAGAAAGGGAAGGGCAACAGAGATGGGGAAAGCCTATATGTGATACATGTCAAAAGCTGGAGTAAATTCATATCAAGGATTGAAAATTGTGGAAGAAACATTGATAATGATATAAGATATGCAGAATAAACTGTATTACTATCAGAAAATAGTACTGACATGAGACAATTACTGAAGATTAAAGAAGAAAGTTAAAAACCAGGATTAGAGTTGAACATAAAGAAGACAAAATTAATGACTGCAGGAGAATTACATAATTTTAAAGCTGACAATGAAGTTGGAATTGTTCAGAGTAGACCTTTGGTCTAGATGGGTGGGGTATAAATCTAATAAAATAAAATAAAATAAACACATCATTACCTTATCTCTAGTATGAAGACTGCAGTTGAAAAATCAGAAAATGATTAAGGCTTGGAAGAGTAGCTGTGAGGGAACTAGAAAACATCCTTAAGTGAAAGGACGTGACCATGGATACCAAGGCCACAATCATCCATACAATGGTATTTTCAACTGTTATGACCGGATGTGAAAGCTGGGCAATGAAGAAAGGTATTAGGGGAAAAATAACTCATTTGAAACGTGTTGAAGACCTTTATTAATATCATTGAACAACAGAGAGACAAATAAATCAGTTCTATAACAAATCAAGCCTGAATTCTCAGTAGAAGTTTAAAGCTATCAAGTTTGGATATATAATGAGAAGACAATATTCAGTGGAAAAGACTATAATACTAAGCTGAAGACAGAAAGAAGAGAGGAGAACTGAACATGATATGGATTGGCTCAAAAAAGTCTGCTAAATCTGAGAAGGGCTGTTAAAGTTAGATCTTTTCAAACTCCATAATTCACAAGGTTACCTTAACTCTGAAGCAACTTGATAGCACATAACAGCAACAACTTGCTGGGATGTAGTGCTAAAATCCTACAAAACACAGATGGATGCCTCTGCTTTGGTGAACAGTGTTGAAGGAAAGTACGTTTGTTTTGAGAATCACAGACTCACTAATCGTGCTGATATGTGTCACTGTGATTCACCTTATGTTATGGAATGCAAATATAAACTCTTAACTGGCCGACTAACAATGATAACAGAAGTGTGAGAGATAAAACTGTGAAAATGCGTATGCACAAACAAACTTGGTTTGTAATCTTGGTGGCACTGGCTGTCAGCCTTGGAAGATGAGTAAGCAATATGGACACCAGGTGGTTCAGCCTTGCCATCATCTGATGGGTTCAGCTGCAGCTGTCAATGCATGGCTACTACCACCATAGTAAGCATCTGCCATGGCTTTGGGATGTACACAGCCTGTTTTTGTAAATGGAATGGAACAAAGAGAGCAAGTGTGTGTTCTGCTCAATGTTTGCTTAAAGGCTACACCCATAAAATGTAGCTTTGTTTTATCGATGACGTTGTTATTTTTCATTACCTAAGAGGGAATACATTTCCTGATCCTCTCTGGCTAAGGCCTGATCACCACAATGTACATACAGATAACAAATGTAAAAGAGAAACTTGTACCTCTCAAAAATTCCTAATTGTAAAATGGGCATGATTTAAAAAAAACTATTGTTATCATTGTTATTTAACAATATAGTACATTATTTGTTAGAAGTAAATCTGTAAGAACCAAAACCCCATTCTTTCTCCTTGATTATGTCTAAGGTAGCCCTACAAATATATTTATTCTACCTTTTTAAAAAAAGAAAGAAAAGAAAGGATAAAAGGTTGTGAAACAGTACCTTCCTGGAACATTCATAGATAAAAGTGGGCCTTTGATAAAAATGTAAGAACACTTACTGAATTCTCTGCTCTCATTCACTTAGGCTGTTTCAGCTTGACAAGACACTTTGACAAGGAATTTTCAATTCCCCCCTCCACGATTCACACCTCTGCACAAGAGAAAAAGAAAGTGATTATTTTTCCACTTAAGGGTCTCCATAATATCTGCAAACTGTTTGTGCCAAAATTGTGTTCTTGCCCTTTGAAAAGTAAAGCAGACTGGGAGAGAGAGAAAGAGGGAGAGGGCAAGAGCAAACACAGAACAGTTGCTGATTGGTAAAAAAGACACAAATATTCTCTCCAATGCTTTTAATGCTTAACGTTTTTGCAACAAAGTATAATTCTATGGAAATTGTGTTATTTGAGTTGCTGTTGTTTCCATTAAAGTCTTATTTTGCTTAGCTGAGAAAGAAAGAAATCCTTATCATTTTGTACTTGAGAGTGCAAGAAAGAAAAGAAAAAGAAAAGAAAAATATCCACCTCCACAAAACTCACCTTCCCACAGGCAGGAAGAATTGCCTTGTGGTTAGTCAATCCCATATGTAAGGATGAAACAAACAAGAGTTTATATCCCTAGCTTTGAGTCTTGCTAAAATCATCCTGGTGAACCTTATTCAAATGCATCTCAGAAAAAACACACTCCATTTGAGTAATAGGAGTTCCTTATTTCATGAAAAGGGCCACAAGGGTCCAGAGAAAAGTGGGTATGTAGAGTTCATGGGATCTCCATAGCTGTCTTTTGAGATGCTTCTATAGCAAGAGACCCAACCAACGTTCAACAATTGGGAAGAGACATGTTTATAACTACAGTAAAATCACTCCTACTTTTCCAACACCTGAAGCCATCTCACTGGTAGATGCCCTGAGTTCTTTTCTAGAAGCAGAAAATATGTGGCCCTTCAGTTGAATTCTCATCATCCCCAGAGAGAATGTGATTATAGGCATTGGCAATGAACAAAATCTGTATAAGCCACAGGCTTCCCAGCACTGTTCTAATCACCTCATCATATCAGCTTAATTGTGTGATTTGCTGACTCTAGATATAGCATTTATTTTTCCGTTGCATTTTCTTCTCTCTCTCTCCCCCCGCCCTCTCTTTTCTTTCCCTTTTCCAAAAGAATCCAGTTCTTAATTTGCTAAAAATAGATAATATGCCAGCTTGATTGAAAACAAGTTGGATCTGAAATAAATACCATTGTGTGGTCTTGCATCAACTTGCTATCTAGTATTTTATTTTATTTCTATTTCTATATTGCCTCATTAGTGTTGCCACTCTCTGGGAGGTCCACAAGATACAATAAAATCATACACAAAAACATTACATAATAAATACAATAAACCCTGTTGCTAGCTGAAACTACCTTTAAACAGTATACACAAATTACAATTTGTTTGAACATCTCAGGACTATATTCACATATGAAGTCAGTTTTGTATAATCTGTTCTTAATTAGCTTCCTAAAATCAGAGAGAGATGGTGCCTGGCAAAGCTCTGTAAGAAACTTGTTCTGGAGGGAAAGGGCCACAACCAACAAAGCTTGGTTCCTACTGTTGACATTTTTTGGCCTCATTGGGTGGTTCAGTCCTTAACATGAAGGACTATGAGGAGCATGTGGAATGGGTGGCTATTTTTCGGGAGAGATGTTTGGCCAAATATCAAGGTCCCAAACTATTAAGGACTTTACAGGTTATGACCAAAACCTTAAATTGAGTGTGGAAACTAACAGGGAGCCAATGAAAGTGTGCCAAGACAAGGATGTGTGCTCATATCTGCTGATACCTATCTGACAGCCACATTTTGGGCTTCCATACCTCTAAATCAACTTGCCCAAGAATTGAATGTTGGCAGTGGGCCTGTAGTTGTTAAGATAATCTTATAATGGTTTCCTTTAGACATGAAGTAGTAAGCCCTCCCACGTCCAACCACAATGTCTTATTCTCTACATCTCCGGCTGTTTCTCTCCACAGACTTTCATCAACTCCCACAGAGGTTCCTTACCCTAAAATGTGTTCTCACACTCTCCTTGCCACTTCTTCACTCTGCTGCTTGCAGGGAGATTCTCAAAAAAGTTATCATGCCAAAAAAAGGAGAGGGTTGTGTGCTTCCACATTGTTTGTGACGCAGCACTGGAGACTTGGGTGTTTATTTCAGATCCATAAAGAAGTCTTCCCATCCTTTCAAGGCAGAAAATCAAAAAGAATGTTCAAAGCTTTGGAAGAAGGAAATATAGAGAGGTTTGAGGCAACAGTGGTCAAGAATGTAGGATAGGGTTTCCCCAAAACAACATACCTTCCCCCAGTCCTATTTTTAACATTCCCTTTTCCAAAATTTTAAATTTAAGAAAAGATATTTACATAGACATATTTAAAGCATCAAATAAGTAAGTTCTGGATCCCAAACAGATAGTATTCATTACTCAGTCCCAGACAGATGCCGTTGACCAACTTGGAGACCCATGGTCCAGGGGTGTGAAAAGGGCTCTTACTGCTATGGGGTAAGGCATGCTGATGCTCAGAGTATCAGAGACTGGTAACTTAGAACACTGAATGAATTGCTGCGCAGTAAGTCAACAGCTGGGGGAATTCTGTTGATTTAATGGGACTGATTTAGTGGGCGCTGGCAATGTTACCTGACGGCAGTAACAGTGTTTCAAGGAGTACAGTATGGTTGTAATCAAACATTTTCAATCCCCATTGCAAATCAGGTTTATTGTCAAAATTTACACACTTTCGGCTGTTTGCAATGAACAAATCAAACAAAAGCATTTGAAATAGCTCAGCACAACAAATGCTTCAAGTGGTTTCCCCAACTTGAAAATACAACTTGTCATGAACTCTGCAGTCTCAGAATTATTCAACCCTTTCTTGGCCAGAGCATGCAAATAGAGTCTCCAGATCTCAGGGCACCAACTGAAGTCTTAGAAAATGGTTTTGCTACCTTCAATCTCCAGGCATGCAGACAAATCCCAGAGTATGTCACCCTGGTGTGTGTGTGTGTGTGTGTGACATATTTAAAGCATCAAATAAGTAAGTTCTGGGTCCCAAACAGATAGTATTCATTACTCAGTCCCAGACAGATGCTGTCGATCAACTTGGACACCCATGGTCCAGGGGTGTGAAAAGGGCTCTTACTGCTATGGGGTAAGGCATGCTGATGCTCAGAGTATCAGAGACTGGTAACTTAGAACACTGAATGAATTGCTGCGCAGTAAGTCAACAGCTGGGGGAATTCTGTTGATTTAATGGGACTGATTTAGTGGGCGCTGGCAATGTTACCTGACGGCAGTAACAGTGTTTCAAGGAGTACAGTATGATTGTAATCAAACATTTTCAATCCCCATTGCAAATCAGGTTTATTGTCAAAATTTATACACTTTCGGCTGTTTGCAATGAACAAATCAAACAAAAGCATTTGAAATAGCTCAGCACAACAAATGCTTCAAGTGGTTTCCCCAACTTGAAAATACAACTTGTCATGAATTCTGCAGTCTCAGAATTATTCAACCCTTTCTTGTCCAGAGCATGCAAATAGAGTCTCCAGATCTCAGGGCACCAACTGAAGTCTTAGAAAATGGTTTTGCTACCTTCAATCTCCAGGCATGCAGACAAATCCCAGAGTATGTCACCCTGGTGTGTGTGTGTGTGTGTGTGTGTGTGTGTGTGTGTGTGTGCGTGCGTGCGTGTGTGGGTGTGTGTGTGTGTGTGTGTGTGAGAGAGATGTGAGAGAGAGAGAGAGAGAGAGAGAGAGGAATAGATATAAATGCCTGAGAGAGAGAATAGATATAAAAGCCTGGGCATCCTTCTGCACCCATTTCCCTCTCCTGCCTGAGCTTAGTAGCTCAGCAGGAAAGAGCATGCCTGTTTGTAGCATTCGTGAGGTGGTAGCCTACCAGAATGGGGATGAGATTGGGAAGGGAATCAGTCTGTGCACTTGGAGCCATGCAATTTGGAGCAAGGCACGAAGTGGAAGCCCAGCAACACAACTTCTGTGGTGTCTTTTGGCACAACCTATGTGCATAAAAATGTCTAGTAACAATGGTTTATACATTAGTAATCTCAAAAGTAAACTACTGTAATGCTCTCTACATAGGCCTGCCCTTGACAATAGTACAGAAATGTCCACAGGTCCAAAATATGGCAGCCACACAGATTTCTGAAATTAATAAATTTGATCATACATCCCCAGTCTTGGCACACACCTTCATTGCCTCCCTGTCAGTCTCCATGCTCAATTCAAGGTGCTGGTTACAACCTATAAAGCCCTTAAGGGTTTAGGACTGCTCTACATAGGCCTGCCCTTGACAATAGTACAGAAATGTCCACAGGTCCAAAATATGGCAGCCACACAGATTTCTGAAATTAATAAATTTGATCATACATCCCCAGTCTTGGCACACACCTTCATTGCCTCCCTGTCAGTCTCCATGCTCAATTCAAGGTGCTGGTTACAACCTATAAAGCCCTTAAGGGTTTAGGACTGTGATGTGACATGCTACCTTCAATCTCCAGGCATGCACCCAGTGTTCCCTGTTTGTTTTCCCCAAACACAGGTTCACCCTCTGGATACATTTACTCTTTCTTCCGCTACCACCAGTGGATCTCTCATCCACACTGCACCATACAGTGGTGCTCTGCTTGATGATGATAATGCATTCCAGGAAAATTGCTGTTAAGCGAAATCGTCAAACAAAAAAAACCCCATTGGAATTCATTGAAAACAGGTCAATGCATTCTAATGAGGGAAATACCTCATCGTCCAGCGAAGATCCTCCATACGGTGGCCATTTTGGGACCTCTGTCTTGCAGTCCGGAAAACAGTGGGGAGCCATTTTGCCCCTGTCTTGCAGTCCGGAAAACAGTGGCGAGCCATTTTGCGAACCGCCAAACAGCTGTTTCTAGCCGTTGTCTAGTGAAAAAATGGTTCCCAAAGCAGGCTAACTGTCGTCTAGTGAAAAAACGGTTCCCAAAGCAGGGAACTATTCATCGTAAAGTGAAAAAAACCCATAGAAACATCGTTTTGCAATTGCTATAGCGATTGCAAAAAAGTCATTTTAAAGTGATTTCGTCAGCAAGCAGGGTCATTGTCAAGCGGGGCACCACTGTATATGCATCAGACATGTGCTGCCAATATAACTTGTTTATTTATCTTTTGGTTTTTAAATCACAGATGTTCTTTTATTATTGTTTAGGATCACTAATTAAACTTCTTATCTTTGATTACATGTTTGCTTATTCAGGTGTTGTATATACTTACTCACATTAACCAACTCATTAATATTCTCTATCTATTTAGCTTTACTATTCCTTTTTTCTCCTTCCCATTCTCTCTAACTCTCTAACTTGCCAAATCTCCCTTCTTAACTCTTCAATTCTCTTCTCTAACTCCCTCCAACTATCTCCTTGACTCCGCCCCTCCTATCTTCTCATAGGCTCCTGCCCTTGAGCTTCAGCTATGATAGACAGGAGTGACGTGGGCATTCCGCCCCAAGGACCTCGATATTTTTCAGAACATCTCTATCGAAAATCAGCTCCCCATTTCACTCTCTCCTCTCAGTCCATGTTGCCCAAAATGGCCACACTGAGAGAAGCCAAAATGGCAGCAACAAAAAGTCAGGCCTTTTCAGTGGTGGCTTCCAATCTTTTGAATAAGTTACTGGCAGAGGTATATCAGGCTCCTTCTCTCTTTGTTTAGGAAACTGGTGAACATAGAATTATTCAAATCTGCCTTCAACAACTGATTCTCCTGGATGTTATTTATGTTAATATTGATTTCCCCCTCTTTCTCTTTGAATTTTAGACCTATATGGTTAGATTGCCACATTGTTTAATGTAATTTGTGAGGTGGGTGGGTTGTGGGTTTATGTTTTAACTTGTAAACCTCACCGAATAGTGATTGCTCTAATGGGGCAGTATATAAGGCAAGGAAGCAAGCATACAAACAAACCATGCCACAAGGTCTGGGGTGGGTGGGTGGTTTTCCTGGGGATAGCAGTGAGTCCCAAGAGTAGCACAATGTCTGAAATCCTATATGACATGCACTCTACGTAATGCCACATAGGTTGGGAGACTCCACAAGAATGGGGGTGGAGGTTGCAGTTATGGAATAGTCTTTTCCACCTGCTCATCCACAAAAAAACAGTTCCTACCACTAGTTCTGTGTTACTGTATTAACTGGATTTTGCCTGGTTTGTGGGTCAATTCACTCTGATTCCACTTGGGCCCATTTCCAGAAAGAAGTACTGGACCAGTGGCACCGGTCTCAGGTTTTGGCCCTGAAATGTCCAAGAATAATTGAATCATCAAATTATAGTGTGTTATGCAGTAATAGTGTTAGAACTCCCTGCCTAAATCTGAATCAAAGATGTGACAGATGGTTACCTACCTTTCTCTTGAATGTCTTCAGTGTTGGAGCCCTCACCACCCTCTGAGGAATGAGAGGCTACTCACCTGACAACCATACCTGAAGTAATTAAATGCAAATTACAAGTTACACATTAATTACAAATAGTAGGGGGAGCATACAAATAACTACTCCTAGGCTCCTGAGCTGCTGGGGCCAGGAAAGGATGAAAGCTGAAATCTCTTTGGACTCCTGCCAAAGTCCTCATCTACATAATCTCCCCCCCCCATGCACCTTTGTGTAACCATTTGAGCAACTGCTAATTGTATGTCATTCTTAGTTTGCTTCAGATGCAGAGAAGTCTCCCCCCCTCCATTTCCAAGGAAAACAAAAACAAATATTTCATTACAGAGAGGGGCTTCAATGGCATAATAATTTGAGTCTCTTCCCATCCCTGTATATTTTCCAGTTCCACATTACTATTTGTGGTGTGTGTGTGAGTGTGTTTCTCTCTCTCTCTGTCTCTGTCTCTGTCTCTGTCTCTCTCTCTCTCTCTCTCTCTCTCTCTGTGTGTGTGTGTGTGTGTGTGTGTGTGTGTGTGTCTGAGAGAGAGAGAGAGAGAGTAAAGAGGTTACCAGAATTGTACACGGCACTGAAAATGTAACTGCACTAGATCAGAACAAAGAAAATCAAATTTCGAGCAACATTTTAAAAGTTCTCTTTGTTTTGACACAGCTTTTCTTTATACACCCTCACACACAACTGAAGACACTCTTGAAGCATTGTTGAAAAATTGTATCAGCATTCTTTGTTTCCACTAACCAATGTGGAAAACCCTTCAGCAATTAAAAAT